GCCTGGGCGCCAGGGAGGGGGCAAAGGCTATGAGCTAGGACCCAAAACCACCCGCGACGCCAAAACACATCTGGACTGGAAATTTTTGTCCATTTCCGGACTCCAGAGAACCGTCAAAAACGACTCGGGTTGCAAAAACCGGCCCTGCATGGGGGAAGGGTCAGGACTTCCGGGGACAGCGTACTGAAAACATCAAGGCATCGCCTGTTTGGGGAGGCAAGTCCTGAAGGTCTTCGTAAGAGCGATTGGGGGCTCTGAGGCCCGATTGGGGGGCCATCATCTAGCCAGACGAGGCCACATTAAGCCCGGGATTAAACCCGAATCAAGCGTGGGCCAAGCGGGATCAAGCCGGCTGACGAGGGATTGTGCCGGATTGAAGGCCTGTCGGCCACGGATACACCAGCGCCGATGCTGAATGTTACCTCCAAGGAGGAATTGAACCCTCAGGGGTTCAAAGGGCATACAGCGTTGGAGACTGCCAGAAAGGGCACAGATTCGGTCAGCCTCCGATCGAGAGGTCAGGTAGGGTCGCATCCGGCATCGCCTCGGGCCGCACAGTCGCGGAGTCTGAGCCGAATGGAATGGGCCGCGCCAGGATGCATAGCCGAGTCGTGCCACTATCAAGCTTCATTGGAGCGCCAGAGTATCGCAAGCGAACCGGATCGGGCCGGCTGAAATGGATATCAAATTGAAACGGGCCCCAGGGTACCCCTGACCCTGTACCCAGAGATCCTACGTATCCCCCTAGCCCTTTGGGCTAAAACGGTAAGGTGGTCTAACGAGTTCTTTCTCTCCTCTTCCAAAAACCTCTTCCCTTCCGGGAGGTTTACCCCCCCTCGTTCCTAAGGCTTTTGGGGGGTTCGCGACGCGATAGGGCGCCCAGAATGGCCAAAGATGGCTCCGAGAGGGCCTCCGATGCTCCAAGATGGCCTCCTAGATGGCTCAAAATGGCCGATGATGGTTAGAGGTAGCTTCCGACACGCACCCACGAGGCTGGACGAGGGCGACAGGACGGTTCTCACAGTCCTCTCGGAGTCCAACCCCCCAAGAAGCCACAATCCTTCTAAAACCTACGGACAATCAAGGATGTTTGACTTCTCGCTGTTTCGCTTCCGATGCGTTTCGAGGGGCAGGGAAGGGGTGGGGAGGGAGGGGGGGGCACAATCGCTCTCCCCACCCCAGTTGATAGATGGCCTCCAAGATGGCCCTCCAGGGCCCCTAAGGGACCCCCCAAGAGGGCTCTAAGTTAGCCCCAAGACAGCCCCAAGGGAGCCCCAAGACCCCCAAAAGAGCCCCAAGATGGCTCCAACAGGCGATTTGAGGGCCACGTCCTCGTCTTCGATTTCCTCCTCCTCCTCCTCCTTCACCTCGTCCTCCTCCTCTTCGTCCTCGTCCTCGTCCTTGCCCTCATCGTTTTCCGTGTCCTGTTCCTTTTCCTCGTCGTCGTCTTCCTCCTCCTCCTCCTCCTCCTACTCCTCCTCCTACTCCTCCTCCTACTCCTTTCTCTCGGGCTTCCACGCGGGCCCCAGGGATTGCTCGAAGAGGCTTTCCAAGGCCACCCCCTTGCACCTTGAGATTTCTCTGTTCGCCCAAGTTGCCCGCTCTGTTTCTGTCTCGTCGCCCCCTTTCCCGTCGACGCTCATTGGCAGGGCTTATAAGTGGACCGCTGGGGGTTCCCGAAACGTGGGGAAATGAAAAACTCAAGACGGAGGTTGATTGCCAATGTATTACTTATGGAAGCCCTCGCCGGGCCGCGGGACCGTCAAACAACGACTCGGGCTGAAGAGCTGTTTCCCAGGAGTTGCTGGGGGAGCCTGAGCACACTTGTGGCCTGGGGCTCCTTTGGAAATCCATGACAGGTGGCGCCAGGTTTAGCATCCTTAGGTGGGTCACTAAACTTCGCATGTTTCGCGCTGCGCGAAGCGCCGTTCTGCTCGTGCAGCCGCGAGGCCCCCTGAAGAAAGGCAACCATCTGGTCCAGCCCGCGCAGCGTGGTTGGCTTCGCGTTTCGGCGGGCGGCCAAAACGTCTGAACATGGCATCCCGCGTGTCAACCGGCAAGACAAAAACCGGAAGCCTCGCCTCCATGACGGCCCAGAGGGCCCAAGAGGGCCTCCAAGATGCCTCAAAGACGGCCGAGATGGCCCCGAGAGAGGGCCTTCGGAGTCGGGATCAAGACATCTGGACATGGCGACCTGCCATGGGCAAGTTGAAGCCGAAAACGCAGCTTGTTGATGATGATGACGACGATTATGCTTATACTGATGATGGTGATGTCGATGCCAATGGTGCTGATGATGATGATGCTGCTGATGATGATGATGATGGTGATGATGATGATAACGATGACGATGACGATGACGATGAAGATAAAGATAAAGATGAAGATGAAGATGAAGATGATGATGATGATGATGATGATGATGATGATGATGATGATAATGATGATGATGATGATGATGATGCTGATAATGATGATGATAATGATAATGATGATGATGATGATGATGATGATGATGATGATGATGATGATGATGATTATGATGATGATGATCATGATGATGATGATCATGATGACCTCCTGCTTTTGCTTCCGCCGCCTTCCGCCAAAAGGACCGCAAAGACCCTCCACCACTGCACCACCGCCGGCTTGAGCAGGCCTTTCGCAAGCGTCCTCCGAGCGAGGCCCGGGGCCTTTTTCTGGAGAGCCCCGCACAAGAATGGACTTTTTACGTCGGCGGCTGGGCAGAGCCACTGCGCTGCCAGGAAACGGGGCTGCCGTCAAGCGAATCGTACCACCATGCAAGACGGGAGGAGAAGACAATGAAGCGACGGCCGAAGAGGAGGAGGAAGCAGGCCGGTGCTGCGCAGAGGACCAGGTCGTTCCCAGGGGCACGTGGCGCGGCCGTCACCAGCACGAAAGTAGACATGTGGAGCACATGGTCCCCCAAAATGTATTGTATTAGATTGGTTCTGTTCACGCGCGGTGAGCTTCGCGATTGCGTTCCTGGCTCTCCCCGATGCCCTCGTGGCCCGTTGTCTTGCTTAATTACCTGGTGCCTTCCCTGCACCACACGCACGTTCGCCCAATGCCCTCAAAGCCCCCTCTAAGGGCCTCTTGAGCTCCATCGCTGCGACGCGGGGCCGCTGCGACACAGCGCCATCACGACACGCCACCGCGCGGCTCCGACACGACATCCTGGCAATCCAACGTTCCGGTGCCCGGACACGTGCCAAGAATGGGCTCCCTGCGTGCCCAAAACGGAGCCCGTACTGTGCCCGGAATGGATCCCTGAATGGGCCGGCCGCGTGCCCAACAATGTGCCCAACAGACATTCCTGTTGTGCAAAAGAAAAACAGCTCGGAGCCCAAATGTGTGCCCGATTTGAAAGCGGGCGAACGGTGAGGAACATCGTCGCATCCAGACAAACTTCTGGGCACAACGCAACTCCAAAACCTTTCTGGGCACCACCTCGGGCACTTCTGGGCACGGCGCCAATCTCTTGGCGCACCGTTGGGACCCGCGTCCTTTGGCGCAGGACCTCCTGGGGTGGACCGACGGCGGCCGCGCCGGGAAGCGCGCCAGGGCTCCCGATCGGGCATGGACTCAAGGCCCCGAGCCCAACGACACGGATCATCTAAGCAACGACACGAGTCAGCGTGGACAGCACCGCGCATCCCCAGGGTCGCGGCAGAGTCCCTGGGGGCAACGATACAGTTTAGCGCAGCTGTTTTCCGATATCACAGCTGCGCGTGACGTCTGACGCGCGAGGGTGCGCGCCCTCACGCAGCACAATTTCTCTTCGCGCGCACTCACAGCGTGCGTCGTGACAAGAGGAATGATGGGGCACTGATGACTTCTGGGCACGCCCATTCAGGGGCTTGGGCCCACCCTACTCTGAGCACGTGCACAGATGCAACGCGGTAGAGCTGGAAGGATCCCCCACACCGCCGGATGCGGAGGAATGGTGCCGCCCTGTGCGCAGAAGAGAAGGCCTGCGCTCTGCACGCGCCAGGGGGAACCCCTGGCAAGCATGTTACGTTCGGGCGCCGGCGGCCGCGGGCAAGAGAGCGTGCTCCGCTTTCTAAATCGCCCGGCTCGCCTTGCCTGGCCCAGTCCTCCCCGTCCGTCTTTGCATACTCGTCGGCCTCCTGCGCCTCCTGCTCCTACGTTTTTGACGTTACGCAAACATGAGGCGGGGTCAGTTGCGATATGTGAGGATGCAAAAAAGACATATCGCCGACCCAGGCGCGATATAACTAACAAACACATTAGGCCGCGGACGGGTGCAACAAAAAGGAGATGCAAAGAGAGAAGGCAAATATTAGTGACCCTCAAGGGCGGGAGGGACCCAGTCCGCGGCGACGGGTGAGGCCAGGTACCACACAACAAAAAATACCTGTTAGGCAAACAAGAGAAACAGAGAAGGGCACAACTATGCTTGCCAGCTCCTCCGCCCCCCTCCTGCTCCTCCCGCCTCGCGTGTCGCGCCGCCCTGCTCGACGTGCTCCTGCTGCTGCCCCCACGCCCATTCCCGTTGGCGTGTCGACCCTTGCCTTCTCTCGGCCGCTTTCTCCTCCCCAGCCCGCGCCCCCGTCGCCCCTGCCCCCCCCCTCCAAGGCACGCACGGGCGAGAGGGGGACGCATGGGGCGTACAAGCGGGAGGAGGACGCAGGGCATTGAGGCAGGGACGGGCGGGAGGCCTGTTTGGGCTGTCCTCCTCCCCTCCCCCCCCTGGGATGGGGGAAGAATGGGGGAGGAGGTCGACGACCACCGCGGCGAGGGTGAGGCGAAGAGGGCAGCGGAGCAGGCGAGCGGGCGCGGCAGCATAGGTGCAGGGCCGGCAAAAAAGGGGCGAGGCTCCAGAGGGGAATCATCGTATTCTCTGCAAGCAAGCAACACATGTCTCAAAATGAATGGAACAGAACACTCGGTGCATTGAAGCAACACTTCTCCCTTCAAAAGATGGTCATGAGTGAGGTGACTGACCTATGCGGAGTCTAGTCAATACGAAGTAAGAGCCCGCCTTGCGAGTTCTGGATCGACCGGACGAGCTCCATGAACTTGACGAAGCAGAGGCTCCCGCAGGCGGGGTCAACTACCTCCAGGTGCTGCGCGAGGCTCCTCTGAGTGGGGGGGCGCTGGGGGGCGGGAAGACGGGACAGAGCGGCAGCAACATGGGGAGTACAGGAAGGGGAGAGCAATTAAGGCGACGAGGAGGAGGAGGATGAGTAGGAGGAGGAGGAGGAGGAGGAGGAGGAAGAGGAGGAGGAGGAACGGCGGCGGCAGCAGGAGGAGGATGCCCTCGCCCAAGAACCGTTTAGCTCTCGAATGGGTTGGTAGGATGTGACTTTGAGCGCTGCAGGTGCTAAGGTCTACCCCCCTGGGCTCTGCAATGTTCTGAGGTCTTCGTTCAAGACGACTGAGGACGTCACCCTTGGGTGTTCCAGCCCAATCCATCACCACCTCCTTCCCCTGCTCGTCGGCGACTGCTGGGGAAGCAAACACGGACCTTTGTGACCACGGCTGCGAGAGCACTGGCAGATCCAACAGGGCACACCTGGACGCATGAGGATGTGCAGCGATTGCGGTATCAGTGCTGTGTGGGCGAGACCTGTGGCGAATGGATACCCACTACCAGCGCGCTTAGATATACGTTGAACCCATATCTGCAAACAGAAACGCCTGGAATCCATCGCGTTCGAGAGAATAGTCAGGTGAGCCATGAAGAGGATACCCACTGCGCATCAGTCTCATAGCTCATAGCCTAAAAGCTGTCCTGGCACTACATTGGCTGAATCCTCGAGGGAGATGTCACCACTCCACAATGTGGTAGCACCAGTCCCTGGAAGGAATCGGTGGGCTGGGGAAGGATTTTGTCTCCGCCAGATGAGAAAGGGCAACACCTGGCCGACGAGGATCACCCCCCATTGTGATGCCGGCCGCCGCCCCCTGCCGCTGCCGCCCTTTTTTGCAGACCACCTCCCGCGATCGGGCTTCCACCTCCTATCCTCAAGCTGCGGACGAACGACCGACGAGGAGGACGAGGGAGGGAGGGGAAGGGGGGGAGGGGGGGAGGAGCGGGGAGGGGAGTAGGAGGGAGCAGGGAGGGGGTAGGGACGACGAGGATGGGGAGCAGGGGGGGGGCGGCGAAGGGCGCGGCGGGGCGCAGGAGCAGGACGCGGGCAGGACGCAGGCCGAGCGGGGAAAGGGAGCCGTGGAGGGTGAGGGAGAGGTGGTGAAGGATGGAAGAAAGACGCAAGCGGGGAGAGGGCACAGGAGGGAAGGAAGGATGGAGGATGTGCACGAACGGAGGTAGGTGCGGCGTCTGCCGCGGGGTTTTACGCTGCGGGTGCTCCTGCCGTGCAAGAAAGGGGAAAAGGAAAGAGGAGCGAGGGGGGAGAACCCGGAGGGTGGAATGGGAGGAGGACAACAAGCAGGGTGAAGAGGGAGAGGCGTACGAGGACAAGTTCGTGGACGCGGGAAGAGGCAGAGGAGTTGCGGCGTCCAATGGTAGAGGAGGACGCGAGGAGGAGGTGGATGGGGGGACGGGGAAGGGGAGAGAGAAGCAGGATGGGTGATAGATGGTGAAGGATGAAGGAAGGAGGACACAGGAGGGAGTGAGGGATGGAGGTTGCGGTGCTGTGGCGCTGTCCACTTCTACGTCCCGAGTCGCTTGGGAGCCCGAAGGCGGCGGAACACTTCCAAGGACCGCTTCCCTCGATCCGTCCTCGGGTCACTTTTGGTTAAACCCAAAAAAAAAGACCAGCTGAAAGGGGGTCGTGCCATAGATTCGGGGCAATTGTATTGCGGCCCAGAATGCGTTGCACGCCCCAAATCTGTTGCAGCCCACAAATGTATTGCGCCAGATCTATTGCACCACCCCTTTGTAGCTGGACCCCCTTTTTCGGTCAAGCACATCACTGCGGATGGGCGCAGACGGCGGAGACGCCGACGAGGATTCGGGCCACCGAACGACGATCCAGGGCTGGCCCAGTCTGGGTCGGGCCCTGTTTGGCGCGCTGCATGAGCGGCCGCATGATACCTGGTCACCGATGATCTGAGGTAGCCCCGCTGCCGTGAGTTCTTCAATACGAGGTCTCCGAAAGTCTCGACCCATTTCCCAAGACCGGCCCCCGAGAATTTTTGTTGACGGTCCCGGGGCCCAGCGAGGGCCCCTAGAGGGCTACACGTTGGATCTATGGTGTTGTTTCGACCCCTCGACACGGTGCACAGCTCAGGTCGTCGGCGACCCGGGGCCCACAACGCGTGGCCGTCCGCGCGGAGACCCCTGGGCTGGGGGGGCGGCCGCCCCCGCGCGGGCCTCTGCGACAGCCGCAGGCCCAGCCGCAGGCCGACTGCGTGCTCGGCCTGTGCTCCGTTGCGCTCGAGGGTGCTCCCGCCGCCGCCGGCTTCGTCGGCGCTGTCGTCGTCGTCGTCGTCGTCTTCGTCGTTGCCGCCGTCGGCCTCGTCGGCGCCGTCGGGGGCAACTGCGTCGTCGTCGTCGTCGATGTCGTCGTCGCCGCCGCCGCCGCCGCCGTCGTCGTCGCCGCCGTCGTCGTCGTCGTCGTCGTCGACTTTGTCGCCGCCGTCTTCGTCGCCGGTGTGCCACGCAACGAGGAGGGCCCGCCGTTGAAGCAGGGGGATGATTCGGGCATCCAAGTTCGCGGATCTTGTGCGCTCGAAATAGGTCGTGCATGTCGTCCTACAGGCGGGCTTTCGAAGAAAAGTAAGGCATAACCAAAAAATATTGTAACATAGTGAAAAATAAAACGAAATTCGCCCCCAGACTATTGATTGACTATTTTTGAATAGTCCTCCTGCAGAAGGACATGCCCGACGTAACGCTCGAGGGCGCGCTCGCGGGCACGGCCACCCGCGGCTGCGGAGCTCCTGGGCCAGAGCGCCTTGAGACGCGGAGCGCGCTGATCGTCGCGCCCCCCCGCAGCCGACCTGGGTCTGCGAGCCGCGAGCTACAGGCCACAGCCCGCGAGCCTCGAACCCCGCGAGTCCCGAGGCCCTCGTGGACGACGCCCACGACTCCCCTCCAGAGACGGAGAGCCGCAGGCGTCTCCCGGGGCGAGGCCTGGCCAGAACTTCGGAGGGGAATCTGGCCGCAGCGACGAGGGCGCCCGCGGAGTTCCAATAGAGGAGGCCCGAAGGCAGCAAGGAACCTCCGACCTCGATCCAGGATCCGGAAAAAGGGGGGCAGGTTTCGGGGATCGGGGCTCGGGGTTCGTCGAGGGTCCAGACATGGGCTGTCTTGATCTTCTCCATGCGCAGTCCCCGGAAGTCTCGACCCATTCTTCAGGGCGGGCTCTTCACCTCGACTCGTTCTTTGATGGTCCCGAGGCCTGGCGAAGGCACCCAGAGGCTGAAAACGACAAAACATTTTTTTACCAGCGCAGAGAAGTCGTCCCGCGGCTAAGGAAAAGGGGAAGAAGCAGAAAGGGGGGAGAGGGGAAGGAGGAGAAGCAGCAGCAACAGCAAGCACAAAACTTCGAAGCACATTTCGCCCACCGATATTTGAAACCCGATCAGCGAACTTAGAGTGTTGACCGTCCACCGATTTTCCCCGCCCACGGCCCGCGCCGCCGCTGCTGTCGCCGCCGTCGGTGTCGTCATCGTCTTCGGCGTCGGCGTCGCCGTCGCGGTCGCCGTCGTCACCGTCGCCGAGGCCGTCGCCGTCGCCGACGTCGTCGTCGGGGGCAACTGCGGCGTCGTTGTCGTCGTCGTCGTTTTAGTTGTCGTCGCCGTCGTCGTCGTCGTCGCTGTCGTCGTCGACGTCGTCGTTTTCGTTATCGTCGTCTTCGCCGTCGTTGTCTACGACGACGTCTTCTTCTTCTTGAGCACGCGAGAGCTGCCCGGGCGACGGCGTGGCCTGCTCGTGGCTCATCTCGCCGTCGGCGCTGTGTCGGTCGAACGCGTCCCGGAGGCGGCGGACCTCCGCTCTCAGGGGCGGGCGGGGAGGGGGAGGTCAGGAGACAGCTGCGAGGTCTTCGAAGGAGCGGCGAGGCGCTTTTACTGCGCCTCAGTAAAGTGGCATGGAGCTGGGAAGACTGATGGAGCCCAGGATGAAGCCGAAGTAACGCGAGGTTCCAGGGATGTAAGTACCAGCGCCGATGCTGAAGTGAACCTCCCAGGACTGGCATCCGATAGTGGGGAGGGGGGTGGAGCGGAACGGAGCGGCGGCCAAGCATCCGTCCAGCGGGACGGGCACGGAGAGACCAGAAATGCATCATACACAGACTGAGGGAAGCAGTGAAACACCATGCAGTATGACAGACGTGCTATAGAAGGGAAACGAGGGAGAGGGAGGAGGAGAGAGGGAGAAGCAACGAGAGACACGGCACTCTTAATCCCACCAGGCCTCCGGGCGTAGGTGGTCTAGGGCGCTTTCTCTTCCAACCCCATTCTTCCTTCGGGGAGGGGTTTACCCCTCCTCCTACCCCCTCCCCTGGACCTGGACGCGTGGGGCCGCGACGCGTTGGATCTTCCAAGATGGTCCAAGATGCCTCCAAGAGCGCCTGGAAGAGCCCAAGACGACCCCCAAGATGGCTCAAGATAGCGCAAGATGCCTCAAGATGGCACCCAAGATGCTCCAAGAGGCCTCAAGACCGTCTCAAGACGGCTCCAAGTGGCCAAACAGCTCCCCAAGGACGCCCCGAATTTGCCAACATCATTCCCAAACCTAAAAATGGGAATCAATGTTTTGTTTTCTCGCCTTTTCGCTTCCGATGGCCATCCGAAGCCTCAAGACGGTGCCAAGATGGCCCAAGAGGACCCCAAGAAAGGCCCAAGAGAGCTCCAAGACGGCCCGGGGAGCGCCCAAAAGCGCTCTGAGAGGGCCCCAAAAGCGCCCCAATAGGCGACTCTTGTGGCTCCCAAGGGGCAGCGAAAAAAAAACTCCAAAATGGCCCCAAGAGCGCTCCCAAGGCTCACAAGAGCGCCTAAGAGGGCCCCCAGAGGCGCCCAGGAGGCCCCAAGAGGCGCTGAACTGGCCTCCGAGAGGCTTCCAAGAGACGCCGAAGCGGCCCCAAGAGGCTCCCCGAGGCACCCGACACGTTCCAAGAAACCCCCGGGACCGCCAAGAGTTAACGGGCGAAAAACGGTATAAAATAAACTTTTTCGCCGTCGGGGACACCTGCCCCAGGGCGGCTGGAGATTTATACCCCTACGGTGCCACCGTAAGGGTATAAACTTTCCAGCCGCCCTGGGGCAGGTGTCCCCGACGGCGAAACAGTTTATTTCATACCGTTCTTCGCCCGTTAAAAGAGGCCCCCAAGACGCAAGAGAGGCCCAAAAACACCGCAATACGGCCCCAAGGGCGCTGTCCCAAGAGCGTTCCTAGAGGGACCCTTCCTCTGAGTACTGTCCAATTCCCTGGTCGAGGCAACTCCTGTGGGCATCGTCTCTGGATGGGCTGGTGGGGTTACTTTTTTGATCGCGAGCGCGCCGGAGGTGCCGCACGCCGTCAAAGTCGCAGCAACGGGCTACGAGCGAATTGCGCACCGGGAGGAGGGAAACTGGCGACGAGAGGAAAAACAAACGACAAACGGACAGCGGAGGAGGAACAAACAGGAGGCGGGCCTCGCTGCCGCTCAGGAGAGGGCGCCGTCGACTGGGGCATTGCCACGCGGGGTGCATCGCCAAAATGGCGGGGAATTCTGGTTGAGCGACACAGCAAGCGACCCGAAGGCGCAGACCAATGTCCCGTAGAAGTGCCGCAAAGAAAAAAACGACAAGACCGCCGGCCGCTCCGTCTCGAGGTGGCGGTCGAGTCGACCGCGCTGCCAGGCATCGAACAACCCACATGCAGGCGCTGAACAGACCAGAGTCTGGATCGCCAGACACCGCCAGGGACTGGTGTCGAGACCGCGTGCCAAAACGCGGGTGGTGTGGGCTGGCGCTCAGGCGCCGGGGAAGAGACGATCCACGCGACCGAGGGCGCCGGAGCGCGTCATGTGGCGTCCAGCCGCGAGCGTGATGGATCCCGTTTGAGAACCGACGTGGGGAACCCGCGCGGTGGGGAGGGGCGAGAAAGGCCAGCCGACCTCAGGTCGGGGGGAGAATGCCGAAGGCCAGGGCCGCAGGGCGGAGAGGCCGAGGCGGAGGGGCAGCAGAGGGCGGGCGATCACCGAAAGGGACGGCACCCGCAGGCCATGCGGCAAGAGGGGTAGCCCAGGCGGCGCCTCTGTGTGAAGCATGGGCCGCTCGGCGGGGCGCCGTGGGGAAGCAGCCCGCGGCAGTGGAACGCCTCAGACGCGCCTGAGACCCCGAGGGCAGAGGCGGGGGCAGAGCGCCGAGGGGCCCCGAGCGGCCCGCGCAGGGCGCGGGGCAAGGGGGGGGGCCCGGCGCCAACGGGCGAGGAGCCACAAGCTAGCCCAGTGACAAGGGCGCGCTGGGAGGCGAGGCGCGAGCCGACAGCCCCAGCCGAGGCACGCACCTGGCGGCATTGGGCGCGAGGCCAGGGCGGCCCCCGGAACGCCGCGGGGAGGGCGGGCGAGGGGCCCAGCAGGCGGAGGGGAAGGAGGTCGAGGGCAGAGCGAACGGGCGCAGCTGGCAAGAGCACCGGCGCCCGCGAGGGGGGACGGGAGCCGTACCCGGGGGGGACTCAGAGGCGACTAACGGTCGCAAATCTTGTGAGGCGCACACGGAATGCGAGGCAGGACAGAGGGGGGCGGCGAGGGCAGCGCGCGAGGGAGAGCGGAGAGGCGACGAACGGTCGCGAATACGGGTAAGGAGTGGCCGAGGTGGCAGAGGCAAGGTGGGGCGCCGCGACTAACGGTCGCATGTGCTGGGTTGACGGCGCGGGCGGCAGGGCCCCGCGGGGGCGCCGAGGGGATCCGGAGGGGGGCGGCCAATGGGTGGGCCGCGGACCCGGTGAGGGTTCGCGTCAGAGCGGCAGCGCCGCAGCTCCCAGTCATGAGTAGGAACGACGCGAGGGAGGCGGACACCCAAGCCAGGGCGCTCAGGAAGGAAAGTGGGAGCGGGGGCTGCGTCAGTGCGCACTGGCCTCCAGAGGGCCCGTGGGATGTGGCAGCTAGGGCGCACCTCCTGATGTGGGCGTTCAGCGTCGCCGATGCAAATTGGGTCAGGATGCGGAACATGGGCTGAGAGGACAGACGCCGTGTGCGTGCGGCGGTGGTGGGGCCCCGACCTGGGCGGAAGTGGGCCTACCGAGGTACCCAGGGCCGGCGAATGCTCAATGCACGGCTGGAGACCCCCCTGGTCTGGGTGCCAGGCGGCACTGGCTGCGTGGAGGTCCTTTCCGATTGGCGAACTCCTCGCGGATGACCGCCCAGTTGACACGCAAGCGGAGGGCTCTGTCCATTACCAGCGGGTTGTAGTCGTGGCGACGCCATGCCCGGAGGAAATCTTCGCAGGACCCAGGGTCCTGTTTGGAGGGGTCTGCGCAGGCGAAACTGTTCCTGGGGGGGTGCTGGTAGCACCACTGGTGCCAGATGCCGCTGAAGTATTCCCCGAGCTCTCTGGAGGCGTTTCACTGCGCAGGCGTGACTCTCGTCACCGATGGGGGACAGGTTGGCCTCTTTCAAGGGGGCCTTGTACATGTACCGACCAGTGTCCGGGTCGATCAGGTCGCTCCGGGGGCCGGTGCTGGGCCCTGCGGCGGTCCGACCTTCCGTGTACGGCCGCTGGGTACGGGCGGGGCCCCGTGACGCCCTACGGTAAGTAGTGTTGTTCCCATCTTTCCAATCTGTCTAGCCAGCCCCTTCTCTCGCGGCTGTAGGTCCCGCGGTCGGAGCTGTAGGCTCCCCGAGCGCGGTAGCTGTCCCACGGGCAGGTCCCGCGGTAGCCGTGGGCTCTCCGAGCTCTCTGAGTCCGAGCCGTAGGCTCTCCGAGGCTGGTGGGGGCACTTTTTGTTTACCGACCGCTAGCGGAGGACGGCCGCGCGGCGTCAGTAGGTCGATCGAAAGCCAGGCCTACGTGGAACAGGGCAGAAGCCTAGACTACAGCTGGCACACGCGGAGGAAAAAAAAAGGCGCGGGGAAGGACGGGAAGACGACGAGACGAGCGACGAAAGAGGGGGCTGGTGGGATTACGCGACGCGTCTAGAATTATTCCAGGGCCCCACGTAATCTTATGACCAGTGCCCGAAACACCCACGGAGCCAGGGCAGAGAGCAAAGGCGACGGGGCAGGGGAACCCGGAACGGGTACAGAATGCGATTGAAATCCGTTCAACAAGATGCATCTGCAATGGTCTGCTCTGATTTGCTGAAGGTCCGAGACGAAGAAAATCAAGAAGAAGCGGGGGAGGGGAGGGGCCCTGATCCGCTCGAGGTTCAAGATTTCCAACCGTGTTCGTCGATTCTCGGCGGTCTCTCCGGCCTCGCGATGCCTTGTGGCATGTGCACATCTGCGCCTCGCCGGGAGGAAGCCAGGAGATTGCGCGTCGTCCAGAACGGCGCCCTGAGGCCCGGGATGTCCTGCAAGCCAAACGTTACGAACAAATTCACGACGGGAGGTTCGGAGCCGTGTTTGGCCTCTGGGGGACCTCGACGGGCCCTGGGGGCCGTCCCAGAACGAGTCGAGATGAGAGGCCAGTCACCCTGAAAAGGTGCCCAGACCTTCTAGGGAGCCGCGTTGTGAAAAAGTCCCGGCGTCGGATGTCTGGGGGGATGGGGCGGTGAGCACGGGGCTGTCAGAATGGGGTGGGGGTGGGGGTGGGGCCACGACGTTGGCGCGGGACGGCGTCGTCCGAATGTTCTCTCCCCCATCCCCCCAGCGTTGGCCGGGGCGGAAGGGTTCGGGGGTCTCGATCCTCCGCTCTGAACGGACAGATCCGCAGCACCGAGCAACGATGGTGATAGGCAGGAAGAGGAGGGGGAGGCGGACGAGAGAAACTTGGATGCTCCTTTTGGGGACCTTCCTGGAGACACTGGCTCCACTCTTGCGTCGAAGCTTCGTCGAACGTCCTTCGATTTGAGTCGAACCTGAGTCGAACCCGAGTCGAACTTGAGTCGGACTTGAGTCGAACTTGAGACGACCTTGAGCCGCACAGATCCATGATGTGTCCCAGGAAGGTCCCCAAAACGAGCACCAAAAGAAAGCATGCCCTCCTGGCGCCGCGAGAGAGAAACAGCGGAAAGCTTTCAGCCGTGGCCGGCCTCTGGGGTGGGGGCCACTTTGAGCAGGGGCCGACCGTCACAGCATTCCTAAAAAGCATGCCACCAAACGCTCTTCAATCAAACGGATGTCCCAAGAACCAGAAACAGTGCTCCTAGATCTCACTACTGGCTTCAATACGTGCAGCATGGCTGCCTCAGCCAGAAGATTCTGAAAACATGTCGTGCAAACCACAGAAGGCTACTCATAAGTACACAGCAGAAAGGGGGGGGTCTGAATTGCGGAGGTCTAATTTGAACTGTCTTGGAGGCCTTCAGGGGGGTCTGGCTTCAGGGGGATATCAGGCCATCATGCCGCCACTTCATGGCTGATCTAGGGAGGGTCCCAAATTGCCTGCCTGAATGGGTTGTGATCCCCTCCCGTCGATCACACAATCTAAAATATTAGAGCATTCTCTGTTGGGCCTCTAGGCAAGCCAAGACGCTTGGTGTAGCAAGCGTTGCCTCGTCGACATGGGGACGAGATGGGCATACCCCAACAACTCCAATATCTCAAGGTGCTTGCTGAATGCCACTCCCCCTCGCATGACGTTCCCATGAGTTTCCAAAAAAAAGCCGACATGTCGCAGCATAGCTCTGACACCTCCCATTCTGATGGAGAGGGAGCCGGTGGCACAGGGCGAGGCCCTTACGGATATCAGTCATTGGTGGGTCAGTAGGCAAGTCAGGACGCTTCGCCACTGCTTGGCCATTGGGCCGACCGATCCCTCGATGGGGGCCCTCCGAGACCTCAAGGGCCGCCCAAACGTCGCGTCGCGCGCCGCGCGAGAGCGCAAGGCGCGGCCATCTCGCGGCGCCCCCCTCGAGAAAGAGCAGCTCGCAGGCCCGGCGCGGGCGCGAGAGGCGCTGCCGCCTTCGCGCCCCAAGAGTCTACGAGGTAAATCCTGGAATGCCATCGTGGGAGCGCTGAGGAGGTACTGCGCCCGATTTGGGGGCCACCAAGCCACCGAGCAGGAGACTGGGGGGACCGACCCCTCGAGGCCTCTGGGGGCCTCGGGAGGCCTAAGAGCTCGCCCAAACGTCGCGAGGCGCGGCCATCTCGAGGCGCCCCCTTTGAGAAAGACCAGCTCTCTGGCCTGGAGCGGGAGCGAGCGACGCGGCCGTCTTCGCGCCCCAGGAGGCTACCGGGATTCTCTCCACCTTCCACACCCGCCGACCAGTAGGTGGCTGATTGAGTCTTCTTCTCGAGGATGCGCCGGTCTGCGGTCTGCGCGGCATAAACATGAATTTTCGACGGTCTGCGCGGCTTTCTTGGATCTGCGCGGGCCCCTTCTGGCGGCGCATCTGGAGCCGCCCCTGGCGCGCTCCGCGCGACAGGGGGGAGGGCCAACGCAGGTCCAAGAAATTTGCGCGGATCTCTAGATGTTTATGCTTATGCTAAATCTGCCTTCGAAAGAGACACGGCCGTCCCCGCGCCTCAAAATGCTAGGATGCAGCTCATGACACGTCATCGTTGGAATGATGCAGGGGGGTGAAATAGCTTTTGATTTTCCAGCGAAGACCCGGCTTATCCGTTACGGGGATAATCTAACTTTTTCGGCCGATAATCTAACTTTTTCGCCGATAATCTAACTTTTAATCTTTGGAGTGGAGGTTCCGGCCGATAATCTAACTTTTTCGCTTTGGGCAGCCGCACGTGTGCCCGCGCACACAAATTCTGCAGACCACACTCGGACCTGCGCAACCGACAAGGTCGGATTATCTGGAGGGGGGTGGCGGTAACCCGGCGTATCGCCAGACCTGCAAACAACACTCAATCTTTTTCGCGCCCCATGCAGCTAGCAGAGAACGCCTGGGACGTCGTAGGAACGACGAGGGGGGGTATTGAGCCGAGCCCGATCAGGGGACCACGAAGCCAGACTAAGCCGGACCAAGCCAAACTGAGCGGGATCGATCAGAATGAAACGGGATTGCACCGATGTCTGGCCACGGATATATATGAGTGCGCCGATACTGAATTTCACCACCGAGGGGTGGCCGACCGGGAAGCTGGGCGGCAGCCCCCTCCTCCTCTTCTGCGGTCGGGGTACCGTTGCTCAGCGTGTCGCGGCGGCGGCCCCTGCGGCACTTCTGCTGAGCTTGCCATGCATGCGAAGACCAGCGGCAGAGGCGGAGAGCTAGCACAGAGGGAGTGAGAGAGCTGGTCCCTGCAAGCGTGCCCTGCAAGCGGATAGCGTGCTGCCCCGCTCCGCCTGGCGGCTAGAAGCTGGAGAAAGCGTCGAGTCGTTGATGCTTTGAAACAAGGGACGTGTCGGACTGAAGCGTGGTGCGCCATAATTGGAGGCGAGACACGCCAAGCGAACGTGCCTGATTGAGGTCTTTCTCCCCCCACCGTCGTCGCAACGGAGGAAATCTGCACATGGGCTTTGCCCCCCTTCTCATGCTTCGCTTCTCTCCCCCCCCCCGCAGCCCCGCCTCGAACCTGCCACCACGGGCGGAGAGCACACATGTGCGCAGCTGGGAATGGAGGACCCTGCTAGGGGATCTGTTGACCCAGGTCAATCCAGACCCGGGTCAGTCAGGCCTGCAGGACCCTGCAAGATCCTGCACCCAAGCCTGGGCCAATGCAACCCTGGACCTGCAAGATCCTGTAGGATCCTTCAGGATCCTGCACCCAAGCCTGGGATAATACGACCCTGGCCCTGCAGGATCCTGCAAGATCGGGCGCTTTGGCTGACCCCCGTTTGCATTGACCCCCGTCTCTTGAGCCCCGATCTGCTCCCGCCGGCGGGCTCCCGGGGACAGGGATGGTGCACAAACCCCCCTCCGTGTCAGGCAGGCGGAGGCTCGTACCGCAGAGTCCTGCTCAAGGGGGTTCGCCGGCGCCTCCATGTACTGTTGCTTGTTATGTTGCACTTCTGGTGGCCCTCGCTGGGCCCTGGCGATTGGCGCTATGGCACCCCCAAAAACAGGACTCCGGGGGTCCGGGTCCTGGCGAGGAGGGCACGCGTGGTCGGCAGCGGGGCTTTGGGAGAGGCTGCGGGTTAAGTTCGGCGGCAACTCATGGGATCTTGCGAATCGGCGCTGACCGACGCCAATCGACGCTTGTCGACGCTAATCGACGCGAAATCGAGACTAATCGCTGCTGAATCGGCGCTTCCTCATCGACTTTCAAAGGCCAGCGCACTCGAATGCACTCTGAAGACGGAATTGCGAGGACCTGCGATGCTCGCATGATCTGCGACCAAAGGCCAAGGTACTCCGAGAGGAGGAGCAGGAGGAGGAGGAGGAGGAGAAGGAGGAGGAGGAGGAGGAGGAGGGGGAGGAGGAGGAGGGGGAGGAGGAGGAGAAGGAGGAGCAGGAGGAGAAGCAAAGGCTGCGGGGCAGGCGCGTCGCAGAGTTCGTGGCGAGCCGGGCACAAGGAGGGCGCAGAGCCTCCTCTCCCGAGAAGCTCATCTCCTCCGCGCGCGCGTCCTGTGGGGGGGGGCGGCGCGATCGGGGCGGAGGCTGCTGCGAGGCACCATCCAGCACTCTGCCCGCACTTTTTTGGCGATCGACACTTTCTCCATGCTCCTGCTCACGCCCCGACCCCACGAGGGCCGGAGCGGCAGCATGGAAACAAACGTGGGCCTCGAAAGCCAAGTTTTTGTCCTGCACAGGCGCTGCTGCCCCTCGCGCCTGGGAGTTGGATCAAGCCTCGATCGCCGACGCTTTGCTCAGCACTCATCGTCATAACCTTCTTGCTGATGGGTGTCGTGCGCGGGTCGCGGAATGCCCCCCCGATGTGCGCTGTGAACAAGGCTTCCCCAAATCTCTGTCGAGAAGGCACTACAGAAACAAGTTCTACACTTAATCGGGGGGACCTCAACTTGGGGACTCCTTCTGTTGAGGCACTCGGGCCAACGAGGATGATGGAGGAATGATGATGAGGGAAGAGGACGAACAGGAGGACAGAGAGAGAGAGATGCAACGAGGAACCAGGGAGTAGGAGGTGGAGGAGGCATCTCTGGTCTCCTGGCAAGGCCGTTGCTCGACCAACGAGACACGGGGTGCAATCGATGTGCGTCTCGCCCTACAGTCATCATGCTACCGGAAGGATCGCTACTGCACGGGGGAGGGGGAGGAGCACATGTACTCGACATCAAGCAACACGCGCGCACTTCTGCGTACCAGTCGGCCCTGTTCCCTTCACCCCCCCTCCCCCTCCTGGAGATGGGCGTTGCTTCCTGGGGATGGGCGTAGCTTCCTGGGGGGGCGAATTCAAGGCAAACGACGCGGCCGCCGGCGCCCCAGCCCGGTGCCGACAAAGCAGTCGCGGGGGGGGGGATGAACGGGGGGGAAGCGCAAGCCCCATCGACTCCGCCGAAGAAGCGAGTGAGCCACAAATAAATACGGAACGCGCGGCAATCCCTTTAGCCGCGTTGGGTGTCACCGCTTAGGGGAACTCCCGTTCACGGGCGACGTTTGGTCGTGGGATTATCAAAGGCCGTGGTTCTTGCCTGAGTAATCCCACGCTTACCGTTGCAGTGTGCAAGCAGGGTCAGGGACTGCCGGGCTGAATGGGGGGGGAAACGCACGCCTCTTGCATTCCTTTTGGCGCCAGGGGGCTCCTCTGGGGCCCCCAAGGTGCACGAAAGGCGAGGTACACCCTTCGTCACCCCCGCCCCATTGCAGGCAGGTCCTGATGTAGAAAGGATTTACGTTTAGAGAAGATGTGAGCCAGCATGGACTTCGAAGCGTGATCTCCTACATTCTATGCGGTGCCATTTACGTAGGTGTTGACATGAATGTGGTGCAATCTAGGTTGTGCTATCCACGTGGTGCAATACATGACTGTTTTGTGCAAAGCAACGCAAATGAACGCACTGTGATCGCAAAGCGACGCAAAGCAATGATGTCAAATGCAAAGCAATGCGCAGCACTGTAAAGACATAGGAGGCAATGCAAGCCCGTGCGAAGCAATGCAAAACAATGCAACGAAATGCAAAGCATTGCGAACCTACGCAAATAAAAACATCCAAACCAATGCAAAACACCACAACGCAATTCAGTGCATGAAAAGAAAACGTAAAACAATATAAAGCACTGCAAAGAAACGCAAGGCACTGCACGGCAATGCAAAACAACATAAGCAACGCAAACCAATACAACGCAACGCAACGCAACGAAATGCGAAGCAATGCAGAGCAACGCAACCCAGTGCAAAGCAATACAAACCAATACATGCGAGGCAAACGCATGTAGATCAATGCAAGGCACTGCAAGGCAATGCAAGGGAATACGAAGGGGAAGAACAACGGCGCAAAGCAAGGCAAGACAACGCAATGCAAATGCCAAGCAAGGCAAAGCAATGTGCAGAAATGCGAAGCCATGCAATTACAAGCAAGGCAGATCATCGCATTCCGATGCAAAGGAATGCAACGCTATGTAATGTACTGCACCGCAATGCACGGCACTGAAGAGCAACGCAAAACAGCGCAAAGCAATGCAAAGCCATGCGAAGCAATGCGAAAAAAAAATACAATGCGATGCAAACAAGCGCAATGCAATGCAAAACATTGAACAATCTAGCATCGCTATGCAAAGCAACGCAACGCAATGCAAACAAATGCCACGCAAACCACTGCAACACAACGCAAATACAAGCACAGCTACGCATAGCAATGCAACGCAAATCAGAACACTGCGATGCAAAGAAATGGATCGCACTGTAAAGCAAAGCAACGTAATGCAAGGCAACGCGCAAACTTGCGAATGACTGCGAAGAAATGCTCAGACACGCTAGGCAACACAACACGATATAACGGAACGCAACGCAACGCGATGCAACGCGGATACGAGACGCAATGTGAAGCATGGCGTAACAGCGAGCAAGACAGATGCAAGGCGATGCGACGCAAGGACCGCACTGCGAAGCAATGCCATGCAATGCGAAGCAATGCGAAGATACGCAACGCAATGCAACGCAATGCAACGCAACGCAGAACTACGCGAACCAATGCAATATTGTGCACATCAACGCAACGCAATGGAAACACAAGTAAAGCAATGCAGAGCACTGCAAAGCAACACGGAGCGATGCAATGCATGCCAAGCAGAGCGCAGCACTGCAAAACAACGCAAAGCAATGCAAAGCGAACTAAAGCAATGCAACGCACCGCAGGTCAATGCAAGGAAATGTAATGCTACACAGCAAAATGTCAAGCAATGCGGCACAACGCAACTTACTGTGAAGCGATGAAAGGCCGATAGGTAGTAGTTCGAAACAATGCAACGCAACCCGCAGCAATGCGACGCAAAGCAACGCAATACAAGGCACAACAACGCAACGCAATGCGAAGCAGTGCAATGCAATGCACACAATTGTAAAACCATCCGTGGCACTTCAAAGCAATGCACAGCATGGCAAGACACGAAAAAGCAATGCCTTGCAATGCAACGCAACGCAGAACAATGTAACACAACGCAATGCAGCGCAACGCAACGCAATACACAACAACACTAAGCAATGCAACGTAATGCAACGACAGGCGTTGCAAACAAATGCAGCGCAATGCAACGACATGTAGCGGCGCAACCCAATGCATTGAATGCAAAGTGATGCAACGCAACGCAACACAAAGCGATACAATCACGTGCAACGCAATGCAACGACATGCGGCGGAATCCAACGAACTGAACATCATTGCGAAGAACTGCAAAGCAACCGAAAGCAACGCAAAGCAACGTAAGGCCAGGCAGCGTAATACAGAGCAGTGCAATGCGGTGCACTGCAAGCAACTGTGTAAAGCAAGACAGGGCAACGCAAATCAATACAAGGCCAGGCACAGCAGTCTAACGCCATACGAAGCAATGCAAGACAACGCACGGCAACGCACACCAATGCAAACAAATGCATAGCAAAGGAATGCAACGCGACGCAAAGCCATGCAACCTAATTCAATGCAAACCATTGCACCGCAACGGACAACAATGCGAAGCGACGCAACGCAATGCACCGCAATGCAGCCCCATGCAGAGCAACGCCCAGAAATGCAACGCAGCGCAAAGCAATGCGGAGCATAGCAATGCAAACCATTGACAAGCAACGCACAGCATCATAAAGCAGCAATGCAACGCAGTGCGATGAGGCGCAGCCAACTGTCAAACAGACCGATACACTGCAAACCGATGCAGGGCAATGCGAGGCAATGCAAAGCAATGCAACACAAAGCAACACAGCGCAACACACGTCAACGCAATGCAAAGGATCGACCAGCAACGCAGAGAAATGCGAAGCACTGCAATGCGATGCAAACCAATGCAACCCAACGCCAGACACTGCAAAGCAATGCACGGCTATGCAAGGGAACGCAGCAATACCAAGCAATGCAATGCAATACGAAGCAATGCACACCAACGCAGCGCAACGTGACGGTATAAAAAGCAACGCAATGCAACGCATCGCAAACCAATGCAATGCGATACAAACACATGTACGGCAATGCAAAGCACTGGAAAAGATGCGAGAAAACGAAATGCAATGCGCAGCAATGAGAAGCAATGTACAGCAATGCGACGTAATGCCATGCACTGAAAAGTAACGCAACGCCAGACCAAGCAGTGCGAATGCACGCAATGCTATCTACACAGACGTAAGGCAATGCAAGGCAATGGAGCGAAACTCGAAACAAGGCAGAACAAACCAACGCCACGCAATTTGAGACAACACAAGGCAACACACAAAACGAAACGCAATCCAACACGACGGGCAATGGTAAACAATGCAATGCAATGCGAACACATGAACCGTTATATCACACACCTCTACGCAATGCGCGGCAACGTAAAGCAATGCGAAGCAATGCGAAGCACAGCAATGCATCGGAAAACAATGCAGCACGATGCAACGGAATAATGAAGCCACACAGAGAAGTGCAATGCGATGCAAAGCAATGCGACTCAATGCAATGCACTGCAGAACACTGCAAGGCAATGCAAGCCAACGCAACGCAACCCGAAGCAACTCAAAATAATGCAAAGCAATGCGAACCAATGCAAAGCAACGCTGCGCAACGTCAAGCAATACAACGCAGTGCGATGGAAGGCAAAGCAAAGCACTGCAAAACACTGCAAAGCAATACAACGCAAGCCAAACCAATGCACAGCCATGCAACGCAATGCAAAACAACGCAAACACACTGAACAGCAGCGCAAGGCAAGTCAAAGCAATGCACCGCAACGTAAAGCAATTCAAAAGAACGCAATGCAACGCAATGCAATGTAATGCGATGCAAACAGCTGCCAAGCCAACCGAACCACTGCAAAGAAACACGAGGCACTGCATGAGAATGCAAAACCATGCGGCGCAATCTAACGCAATACAAAGAAACGCAATACGAGACAATGCGACGCAATGTGATGCAAACAACTGCCAAGTCAATCGGAGCACTGCAAAGAAGTACACGGCACTGCCTGACAATACAAAGTCATGC